CGGCGATACCTGACAGAGGTGAGGCCCGAGGGGAGGGTATTATTCCAGTTTTGCTCCTCATTTTTTTTCAAGATGGTGAATCCTTTGATGAACGCTTCCGCCTGGGACCGTTGTCTTCGTTTTGTTAGCCCCATTTCAGCTCACATCAACCCTTTGCTCCTCTTGCTCCATAATCATAATGGTTGTAGTTATTATCATCGTGAACATCATCATCATCATCATCATTTGATTCCCCTCCCTCCCCCCCCTCAACACACACACAGTTCACGGAGGACGCCGGCCCCATGGCTCACCCCATCCGACCCGAGTCGTACATCAAGATGGACAACTTCTACACGCTGACGGTGTACGAGAAGGGCGCCGAGGTCGTACGGCTGTACGACACCCTCCTCGGGAAGGAGGGTTTCCGTAAGGGTGAGAATGGGGAGAGGGTGGCGGCGGCGGCGGCAGGGTGGCCCACACACACATACATACATTCACACACACAAAAAAAAACCTTCAAACCCCTTTCGATCCTCAGATTTCTAGAACACCCGGTCGCCCTTTTTCCTCCACTTCTCTTCCGCCTCTTTTCCCCCCCCCCACCCTTTCAAATGCTCATCTGAAAGGTATGGATCTGTACTTCCAGCGCCATGACGGCCACGCAGTCACCTGCGATGACTTCCTGGCGGCCATGGCGGATGCGAATGGGGTCAACCTGGACACGTTGGGCAGGTACGTGCGTGTATGTGAATGTGTATGTATGTGTGTCTGTATGTGTGTCTGTATGTCTGTGTGTGTGGATTTGTCTCTTATGTCTGTGTGAAAATGTGTATGTATGTATGTGTGTAAATGCGTGTGTCGATGTGTATGTGTGTGTGTATGGATATATGTATGGGTATATGTATGGATAGATGGATGGATGGATCTTGTGTGTGCGCTGTGCTGTGCAGGTGGTACAGTCAGGCGAGTACCCCCAACCTGCACGTGTCCACGTCGTACGACGCCGCGACCAAGACATACAGACTCACATGCAAGCAGAACACCCCGCCAAGCCCCGGGCAGGACGCCAAGCTGCCGGTGCTCATTCCCATCAAGTTGGGGCTGCTGGGGCCGGACGGTGGGTCGAATAAACTGATTGCAAAGCTTTGTGATGCTGCTATGACGCTGTGTTTTTCCCTGCCGTACAGCAATCTTGGAAAGTGTAGGCTATGCCGCGGAAAAGGTGTGTCCCGCTTTTGTGCCGAAAGGCAGCGGAATACGCTTTTCGTGGTTTCATGACCCCTTCCCTCCCCCTCTCCTCCTCTCTCCCCCCTTCCGTCACCCTCTA